AACCATACAGACAGCACAAGGCATACAGCAAGTACCAGGCTATTCACAACATAATGCATTCTGTTATCATATGCACTGCATTTAATTATTGAGAACATGCTTTTGTAAGGGATAGTGAGCCGAATACGGTTTCTAACCAGGCTACTCAAACTATCTTGGTCTAGTAGTTGAACACTCATATTGAGTCTACCATACTACTATTGCGACCATATTCACATAAAGTGGACTACTTTTTTAGTCGCCGACTCTATGTTGCTTATGAATAAACAATGGCTAAATGTCCGTTATGCTTTCCTACTACAAACTGACTGCATTGCTTATTCAATGACACTATTCCGTTTTCTGCTTTTGACACAACTATACATTGTACGATCATCAGATTCATACATTGCAATCCAGTGATTGGGGTTGACTGCTGCCAATCAAACTCCACCTTGTATTCTAAAACTCAAATACGCTCGCGTTCTGGTTCAACAAAAATCAGCCGTCACAAGAATGCAACTGTTATTTGCATGCCAATCACCAGGATAACTAGTCGACTAGAGTTTAGGACACACTATTGACCAGTAAATCTGATAATTATCATTTCATGAAATTGGTTGTTTATGTATTTTGACACTCTTGTTCAAATATCCCAGCTTACATGAATACAATTGTAAACTCTACTATCAAAACTGTACAGTAGTCCTCAATGAAGATGATAAGCTTGCAGTAGTTAATCTCGAGGCACAAAATTCGATAGAATTGAAATATACTATATTAAACTATTTCATTTACAGCCGCACTCACGTAGAATGAAACACCACAGGTGTCAATATATGATAAAATGCCAGTCTCATGTTGGATTGGTGATAATCTTACTGGAAAACAATGTGCCCTTTGAACTCATTTAGTTTACTAGTCTTTCTTCATATTCATTCTTGTACAAGAATACAGAGCGAATGTTCATATCCTTGATATCTTTTCGACCACCAACTTTCCCTTCCTCAAAAACAAACATTTGAAGTAAACATTGCGTGACCGGCATGGAAATAACTGTTGCATTTCCAACTGTGATTTTGAACTAGAACGTATCTGATATTAGGGTACAGAATTTTAATAGAAAAAGTAATCAATTTCCAACAACGAATGTAACGATTGTTTATTATTCCAAAGCAAAATAGAGTCAGTCCAAGATAAATTATAAAGTGTTTCATTTTGCGTGAATATGGCTATAAAATATTTCATTTAAAAGGCATTTTTGTTGTATAAGATCCGCAATGAATTAGTGATGGCATATCCTTTTAACGTTTAGCATCGTTTCAGTTGGAAACCGGTGTGTCTCCCTCGGCTGTATTAGAAGTATCTGTTACTCCTTTATCAACGGAAGCATCCCCAGCAGGGACATCTTCAGCAGCAGGGACATCTTCAGCAGCAGGGGTTTCTTCTTCAACAGGGACATCTTCAGCAGGGACTTCATCAGCAGGCGGTTTAGATCTGGATTCGACAACCTTCTGCACAGCTAGACCAGCAACACTCATTCCCACTCCTCCTACCATTGATGTTACAAGAGTTTCAGCCAGTCCACCACCGCCATTGCCACCAGTAACCATATTTTTCATTTTTCCCACGAATCCAGGGCTTGGAGCTGGTGCCATATCGCCCATCTGATCACCTGGGTGGCTAGAGCTGGATTGCATATTGTTCTGAGTGCCTGTGCCCTGTCCGTTATTCTGAGTGCCTAAACCCTGTCCGTTGTTCTGAGTGCCTGCGCCAGTTGTTGGCTGGCCTTGAGTGGGGGAATTTCCAGGTCTACCAGGTGGAGCTGGTGGTGGTATTCCACCACCATGATTTTGAGTTCCAGCTCCAGATTGCTGACTAGTTCCAGCTCCTTGTTGTGGGTTTTGAGGAGCAGGAGCTTTAACTGGACCACCACTTGCTGGCTGGCCTTGAGCGGGGGGATTTCCAGGTCTACCAGGTGGAGCTGGTGGAATACCACCACCATGATTTTGAGTTCCAGCTCCGACTCCAGCTCCTTGTTGTGGGTTTTGAGGAGCAGGAGCTTTAACTGGACCACCACTTGCTGGCTGGCCTTGAGCGGGGGGATTTCCAGGTCTACCAGGTGGAGCTGGTGGAATTCCACCACCATGATTTTGAGTTCCAGCTCCGACTCCAGCTCCAGATTGCTGACTAGTTCCAGCTCCTTGTTGTGGAATCTGAGGAGCAGGAGCTTTAACTGGACCACCACTTACTGGCTGGCCTTGAGCGGGGGGATTTCCAGGTCTACCAGGTGGAGCTGGTGGAATACCACCACCATGATTTTGAGTTCCAGCTCCGACTCCAGCTCCTTGTTGTGGGTTTTGAGGAGCAGGAGCTTTAGCTGAACCACCACTTGCTGGCTGGCCTTGAACGGGGGGATTTATAGGTCTACCAGGTGGAGGTGGTGAAGTACCACCACCATGATTTTGAGTTCCAGCTCCAGATTGCTGACTAGTTCCAGCTCCTTGTTGTGGAATCTGAGGAGCAGGGGCTTTAACTGGACCACCACTTACTGGCTGGCCTTGGGCGGGGGGATTTATAGGTCTACCAGGTGGAGCTGGTGGAATACCACCACCATGATTTTGAGTTCCAGCTCCGACTCCAGCTCCAGATTGCTGACTAGTTCCAGCTCCTTGTTGTGGAATCTGAGGAGCAGGAGCTTTAACTGGACCACCACTTACTGGCTGGCCTTGGGCGGGGGGATTTCCAGGTCTACCAGGTGGAGCTGGTGAAGTACCACCACCATGATTTTGAGTTCCAGCTCCGACTCCAGCTCCAGATTGCTGACTAGTTCCAGCTCCTTGTTGTGGAATCTGAGGAGCAGGGGCTTTAACTGGACCACCACTTACTGGCTGGCCTTGGGCGGGGGGATTTATAGGTCTACCATTTTTACCGAGTACAAGTGGTGGAGCTGGTGGAATACCACCACCATGATTTTGAGTTCCAGCTCCGACTCCAGCTCCAGATTGCTGACTAGTTCCAGCTCCTTGTTGTGGAATCTGAGGAGCAGGAGCTTTAACTGGACCACCACTTACTGGCTGGCCTTGGGCGGGGGGATTTCCAGGTCTATCAGGTGGAGCTGGTGAAGTACCACCACCATGATTTTGAGTTCCAGCTCCGACTCCAGCTCCAGATTGCTGACTAGTTCCAGCTCCTTGTTGTGGAATCTGAGGAGCAGGAGCTTTAACTGGACCACCACTTACTGGCTGGCCTTGGGCGGGGGGATTTATAGGTCTACCATTTTTACCGAGTACAAGTGGTGGAGCTGGTGGAATACCACCACCATGATTTTGAGTTCCAGCTCCAACTCCAGCTCCAGATTGCTGACTAGTTCCAGCTCCTTGTTGTGGGTTTTGAGGAGCAGGAGCTTTAGCTGAACCACCACTTGCTGGCTGGCCTTGAACGGGGGGATTTATAGGTCTACCAGGTGGAGGTGGTGAAGTACCACCACCATGATTTTGAGTTCCAGCTCCAGATTGCTGACTAGTTCCAGCTCCTTGTTGTGGAATCTGAGGAGCAGGGGCTTTAACTGGACCACCACTTACTGGCTGGCCTTGGGCGGGGGGATTTATAGGTTTACCATTTTTACCGAGTACAAGTGGTGGAGCTGGTGGAATACCACCACCATGATTTTGAGTTCCAGCTCCGACTCCAGCTCCAGATTGCTGACTAGTTCCAGCTCCTTGTTGTGGAATCTGAGGAGCAGGAGCTTTAACTGGACCACCACTTACTGGCTGGCCTTGGGCGGGGGGATTTCCAGGTCTACCAGGTGGAGCTGGTGAAGTACCACCACCATGATTTTGAGTTCCAGCTCCGACTCCAGCTCCTTGTTGTGGAATCTGAGAAGCAGGAGCTTTAGCTGAACCACCACTTACTGGCTGGCCTTGGGCGGGGGGATTTATAGGTTTACCATTTTTACCGAGTACAAGTGGTGGAGCTGGTGGAATACCACCACCATGATTTTGAGTTCCAGCTCCGACTCCAGCTCCTTGTTGTGGAATCTGAGGAGCAGGAGCTTTAACTGGACCACCATTTGTTGATGGACTTTTGGCGGGAGGACTTGCAGGTTTACCAGCTGGTGCTGGTGAAGTACCACCACCATGATTTTGAGTTCCAGCTCCGACTCCAGCTCCAGATTGCTGACTAGTTCCAGCTCCTTGTTGTGGAATCTGAGGAGCAGGAGCTTTAACTGGACCACCATTTGTTGATGGACTTTTGGCGGGAGGACTTGCAGGTTTACCAGGTGGAGGTGGTGAAGTGCTACCAGCACGATTTTGAGTCATGGGTCCAGATTGCTGGCTAGTTCCAGCTCCTTGTTGTGGAATCTGAGGAGCAGGAGCCTTAGTTGGACCACCATTTGTTGATGGACTTTTGGCAATGGGATTTCCAGATTTACCAGGTGGAGGTGGTCGAGGTGGTGGAGTGCCACCACCACTCTTTTGAGTAGCTCCGGCTCCAGAACTAGAGCCCGCTTTACTAGCTCCACTTTCAACGCCCGTCTTTTTAATAGAGCCTGCTTTGGTAGGCCCAGATAGCTTTGCATTGTGAACGATTGGTTTGGCTTTAATAGAACCACCTTTTGGCTTAACCAACACAGTTTTAGCTTTGCTAAATAACTTTGCCATTGGTGGTGCTCTACGATCCAAATGTACTTCCTCGACACGATCGATTGAACCCAAGTCAGCTGGAATTGGTGGTGCTCTACGATCCAAATGTACTTCCTCGACACGATCGATTGAACCCAAGTCAGCTGGAATTTCAAAAAGAGAATCCGGGAAAAGCATTCTATAAGTATCGGTTGGTATAGTGAGATATCTTGATCCCAGCATACTGCCTGTAGATTGATTGGGGATAGGCATTGCACCGGATAGTGGAGCACGAGAAATCATAGCAAGTAATAGATAGGTCTTCATTAGTATTTATCTGGTAGTTGAGCTTGAATAAATAGATTTTAAATATGGTGTCTATACGTATTGGAACGTCTGCCAGCTAGTCAAGTCTATCTGTATTTATACTTTCGGGTGATGTATATTTAGAGAACAACGATTTTGGACCACTGGGTTATATACTCGAGTCTGTTGCACAACCATGTCAAGTCTACTTGTGAGGCATCTACACATGGTGGCACACTTTAGAGCCACTTTGGATATAGCCAAGCCATACCGGTTATCCGCTTTCTAGCCTAGCATGCAGACACAAGAGGGCAATGTAATCTAGCTGGTGTAAAAGCCTCTGACTGATTGGTGAGACCATGTCTGGTCAAGCCATCGTGTTGTACAGAATCGGACTGTTGTGTAAGCCATTATAATAAACAGGCAAGGTAGGCAAGGTAGGCAATCAGTGCTTATCGGCCCGTATTTCCATACAAACCTGTTAGTAGCAAAATAGATTCACGCTAGACAATGGGCTGACAATTGAGCATGCCAATGACCTATATTTGATTCATTCATAAATGGTTGTGCAAGTTTGGTCCAAATCTGCTGTTGGTGCTATTGGATTTTAAGCTACATTTCATGCTCTTTACCGACTTTGCAATATTAGCAGCTAGTGATAAAGGAATTGAAAATGGAGATAAAATGAGATTGTTGAAGCCATCACACTTGTTCATTTGCAAATATCGACTAGATTGTTCATCTGTTGATCTGAATGTCAGGATCATATATCAATTGTATCTCATGTATCATAACGACAATCTGACTTGTTGACACGGCCAGTTTGCTCAACAATCTGTTGTCAATTCAATATACGAATGTCGCTCGGTTGGTCTTGATTTGACAATATTCAGCATTCCATCTATACAGTGTGTATGCTAACCCAACTAACCGTGCAATATTACGGAAAACTTGTGGTTTTCAAGAATGCAATAGCAGACTGATTGATGCTGTCAGAATGACCAAGACACAATGTAATTGAGTGGTTGGAATAGAAATGAATATTTCCATCCCATCCCATCCCATTTCATCCCGTTTCCATTTCTTTGTCACTAGCTGTGAAGGCATCTATAAAAACTAGATAAGTAATAAAGTTTATTGAATATGATGATCTATCACCAACTGTGAAGAACCGACTATTAGAGTTTCAAATAGTGCTAGCTATATCCAAACATATTTTTCATCTCGCTATTTTTTGGGAATATCTTTCATTGAGCGTATCGTTATTCGAGCTGTTGACCATCTTGATGGGTCACCGATCAAGACTTTCCACAAAAATTCGAATTCCAATCGAGTATCAAGGTTATTTTGATTTTCCTTTAGTATTAGCAGTACTGTTGCCATTAGTACTGGTATCAGTACTATTACGACTACCAGGACTACTACCAACACCAGTGCCAGTTGGGTTAATCTTATTACCGAAGAAAATCATACCACCAGTCATCATAAGACCATTTTTAAACCCTTGTTTTCCAAGCCCTGGAGATCGTTTAGTCAATCTTGCCTGTCTTTGACTGCTGTAACTGAGTCCTATCCATTCTGGCTCTGGAGAACGACGGTATATGTTGGGATCCACCGATCGCTTTATGATGTCGAGTTTTGGGGCTCCAGTAACCGTACCAGTGTCGAGGTTAAATCCTTTCCATACTGGCTCTGGGGAACGACGGTATATGTTGGGATCCACCGATCGCTTTATGATGTCGAGTTTTGGGGCTCCAGTAACCGCACCAGTGTCGAGATTAAATCCTTTCCACACTGGCTCTGGAGAACGACGATGCATGCTGCCCATGCTTGATAATGGTACCGAAATGGCTGCTGATAGGAGTGAAAGCATAAGTATAATCC